TCAGCAAGAGGGGGTAAGGGATAATTTCTAAGTACATCAGTGTACTATGGCTTTAAAAAAATCTGTTCCTAGAAGAAACTAATAAATTAGAGCCTAACTTGCAAGGGTTTTATCTTATTCTAACAGTCATGGGCCAAAGAGAAACTCCTTTAACTCCAACCCAATGTAGACACTGTGTGTGTGTGTGTGTGTGTGTGTGTGTGTGTGTGTGTGTGTGTGTGTTCTGGCAAACACCTGCAAGGGTAGAAGGAGGGTATGAAGTGATCCCTTTAACATGAATGTTTCTGGCCCTGCTAGCCCCGCTGCCCTTTAGCTCTAAATGAACACACAGGTGCTATATTAGTTTTAAAGCTGTTGGCCAGTGACTAAGGTTTCTTATTGGCTAGCTCTGTCTTAATTATTAACCCATCCCTGTTAATCCATGTATTTCCACGTGGTTTTGGCTTACTGGTGAATGCCAAACCTGCAGCTACTTTGCCTGCCTCAATAGGGAGATAAATGGGATCAGGACCCATGATGTGAAATTCACAAAGAATCAATAAAAATGTGTTAAAAATAATTTCACAAAGCATTAATAACAAACAAACTCTTTAGATCTTTTAGTTCAGTACAGCCCGGTTTCAAGATTCATAGTAATATACAGAAGTCAATCATTCTATTAGATACCAGTAATGCACAGGTGAAATCTTAATTAAAATCAATGTCATCTGCATTGGCACTACTAAAAGTGAAATGCCAGACTTAGCCATGAATCTAACAAGATATCTTTAATATCTGCATATGACCATGAAATTCTGTTGAATAATATCAAGGGCTAAGTAAATGAACAGAGAGAGGTTCCATGTCTGTGAATAGGAAGAATCACAATTGTCAAAGTTTTAGATCTAACCAAGTTGTCATGTGGATGATATATCCCCAACAAAATATTCTGAAAAGTAATTTTTTAGATATCAAAAACCCATTCTAAGTTTATATGGAAAAGAAAAAGAACTATGCAAGGCAATACAATATTAATATGAAACTGTACTTGGCTTCAGATTTATTACAAACTTCACAAAAATCAAGCTGGAGATGGTATGGTGAGAGTGAAGAAAGTCAAACGATCAATGAGGAGGAATGGACATGTTATCTTTGCCAAAGAAGCAAAGGTTAAAATAAAAAAATAGCAGAGACAGAGCTTTCAAGAGATCAAGTTGGAAGATTAGGAGAGCTGCACACACAAGCAAATGAACCCTGGTGCAGGCCTTACCCCTCTCAAAGATGAACTGAAATGGATTGTAAACCAAAATGTGAAATCTTAGAATATCATGTAAGAAAGAACTCTAATAGCTTCATATACAGCAGGGGCACTGTAGATAAATACCAAAGTCACAAAGCAGCCTGGGATTGATAAGATGGACTTCATTAAATTTCAATGTCTAAGCTTTCAAAGAGACATTATCAAGAGCATGAAAACAGAAATAGGCCAACCAGTAGGATACATCTGCGAAAGCTGGAAGAATTGTTAAGTAAAATATATGAGCAAATCTTAGACACAATAAACAGTATGAAGCAAGCATCTTGGTTTTAGAACAATAGACACCTCATCAAACACAATATAAAACTGGTCAGTAAGCATTAATACGTCATCTTGGAAATGCACATTCAAGTAAGATAGCACTGTATTCCTGGTAGAATGACAAACTTCAGAACATGACATCATCCAATGCTGGGGTAGGTATGAAGTAAGAGAAGCTGTTTTCTTTTTCTTTTAATTATTTATTTTTTAATTTACATGTCGATCCCAGATCACTCTCTCTCCCTCTCTCCCTCCCTTTTATCCTCTCTGCCCCGTCACATGTACCCTGACCACCCTCCCCTCCCAACACCCCATCCCAGTTCCACATGTAGGGCAATGCCATCTGGGTGGGGTCATGTAATTCTGTCAAGTCATTTGAAGTTGGGACTAGGACTCCTCTCCTGTCTCTAGGTTAAGGCATTATCCCTCCATGGGAGATGTGTCTGCAAGGTCCTTTTGTGTACCAGGAATACATCCTGGCTCCACTGTCTGAGGTCCCTTAGACTGTTCAGTCCTTCTGGCTGAGACCCATATTCAGGGGGGCCTGAGTCAGTCCCATGCTGGATTCCCAGCTATCTGTCTGAGGGCCCGTTAGAGCCTCCTTGTTCAGTTCAACTGTCTCTATGTGTTTCTGCAGCCTGGTCTTGTCCTCTCCCTCTGCATCTGGATTCTAGTTCCACTCAGTGTTTAGTTATAGGTGTTTGCTTCTGTTTCCAACAGGTACTAGATGAGGGCTCCATGATGGTGGCTAAGTGGGTTGTTGATCTCACTATCCGGGAAGGACATTTATGGTAGCCTTTCCACAGTTGCTCAAATTGTTAGTTGGTGGCAGTCTTGTAGGTCTCTAGACCTTCTTTAGGTTCAGTTTTCTCTTCAAACCAATATTGGCTCCCTCTTTTATGTTCTCTCTCTCTCTCTCCCTCTCTCTCTCCTGTCTTCTATTCCTACACTGACTCAATCTTCCTAGTCGACGTGCTTTCCTCTCCTCCCCTTCTCTTTCTCCTACTTCTCTCTCCATTCACTGACGCCCCCCCCACTTCCCCTGTGCCCTGGGGGACTTGTCCCTTCTGTGAGGGACTTAACATCAATATCTTAGAATACACCTTGTATCCTAGTTCTGATGGTGTGAATTATAGGCTGGTGATCCTTTGCTCTAGGTCTAAAATCCATATATGAGCAAGTACCTACCATGTTCCTCTTTCTGTGACTGGGTTACCTCATTCAAAACAGAAGGGTCTGTAAGGCAAAGGACACAGTCGACAAGACCAAACGGCAGCCCACAGACTGGGAAAAGTTTTTCACCAATTTTACATCTGATAAAAGGCTGATCTCCAAAATATACAAAGAACTCAAGAAACTAGTTAATAAAACACCAAATAACCCTATTAAAAAATGGGGTACAGAACTGAGGAAAGAATTCTCAATAGAGGAAATCAAAAAGGCTGAAAGACACTTAGGAAAGAGCTCAACATCCTTGGCTATCAGGGAAATGCAAATCAAAACAACTTTGAGATACCATCTTACCCCTGCCAGAATGGCTAAAATTAGAAACACCAATGACAACTTATGGTGGAGAGGATATGGAGAAAGGGGAGCACTCCTCCACTGCTGGTGGGAGTGCAAACTCATACAGCCATTTTGGAGATCAGTATGGCAGTTCCTCAGGAAAATGGGAATTAGTTTACCACAGGACCCAGCAATCCCCCTCTTAGGTATACACCCAAATGATCCACATCCATGCAACAAAGACATGTGCTCAACTATGTTCATAGCAGCATTATTTGTAATAGCAAGAACCTGGAAGCAACCTAGATGCCCCTGAATTGAAGAATAGATAAAGAAGATGTGGCACAATGGAATACTACTCTGCAGAAAAAAAAAATGGAATCTTGAAATTCGCAGAGAAGCTGTTTTCAGTGCTGTTGGGAATGTAAAGATGTAGTGGCTAGAGAGATTGCTTACTGGCTAAAGACATATATTGACCTAAAGGACCCGGTCTAAATTCCCAGCAACCACACATGAGGTCACAATCATCTGTAACTCCAGGTCCAGGGAAATCTGATGCCCTCCTCTTGTTTCTATGGTCTTTAGGCACTCAGATAGTACATATAGATATATCCAGGCAAACACACACACACACACACACACACACACACACACACACACACACACACACATATATGAGATTGAGAAAAATCATTAGAAAAAGAAATGAGCTATTAAGACATGAGACAATATAGAGAACATATAATTACAGACTCCTAACTGAAAAACAATCCAACTTGTAAACATACTGAGTCTAACTATATGATATTATCAAATGATAATGCTAAGGAAGGAAAGATGAAGAAGGAAATCACAGATGACTATGGAGGAATGCAACTATTTTGTTTCTTACATTTGTTCAAACACAAAGAATGGCCCCTAATATATTCTGAGTGATTATCCCCTGCCTATTAAGTTCACCAACTATAATAAATGCATCATGTTTATAAAGAGGAAGTTTGTATATTGGTGGGAGCAGGAAACATGGGAGAAACCTCTGTATGCTGCTCTCAAATTCTCTGTAAACCTGAAATGCTTGAAAAGTTGAGTTTGGGGCCCATAAGATGGCTCAGTAGGTATAGGTGCTTGCTGCCTGATAACTGAGTTCAACTACTGGATTCTACATGGCAGGTAGAAGAAAGTTATTCCTGCATGTTGCCCTCTGCCCTCTATACATGCACTGCAGTATGCACCAAAATAAATACATGAACAAATAACAAACAAACAAACATGATGGTTTTTGTTTAAATTGCAATGTTGCTTTTTAAAAACCAATAAAAGAGAACATTAATGCGATTGATGATCATTTGGCTTTAGATTTCAGAGTCTCAACACTTGACACAAGCATTTTCAACAGGCCCTGGGAGTGGGCCCATTTTTAAAATTCTAGTCACTTACTCTAAGGCACAGCCACCTCATCACTTTCCCTACAACTTGTGTTTGCAGAACACCTGGCAGGTGTTGATGAGGATTCTTTAAATGTCATCCAACTCTACTTCCTGCCATTACAACTAGGTATCCAGCTCATGTTTGACCCTTGTGAACATCCAGTCTCTGAGATGCCAAGCAATGCCCTGGCTATTACATAGCACATCAGTACAAAGCCCAGGAACTAAAGTAAAACAGAGTCAATGTCACCTCTGGGATTTTAAATAGAAGAAAAAGAGCTTGCATATTTGTACCATTTCCCACAGTGCTCTTTCTTTCTACCATCTACTTAAAAGTTTCTCTACTAAGGTAAAGACATGACTCCAGGAAGTGTATTTTATTCAACTCTTGTGTGTTCTTAGCTTCACTATGTACCAGTTTTTGCCAAAATCCAGTGCCTGCAAAATAGTTGCGAAACTGGAGCATGGGAACCTAGATCAACTTTGATACTGAGGAGAAACTGCCAAACCTTTGTGCTGTTGCCAAACCACCAGAAGTAGGTAAGGGTTCCCATTTGACTGGGCCACACAACTGCACTGATGTTGACATCCTTGTTTCTTATGGCGACAAATGGAACTCGAAGGTGAACATGTTCCACTGGACCTAAGGGAAAAGAAGGGAGAGAGTATTTATGTTCCCAGGACAAATCATCAACTTTTTCACATCCTTGAATTTTTAACTTTTTTTTTAAATTTAAATGAGAAAAAAATCTTATTTTATATATCAATCCCAGTTCCCTTTCCCTCCCGCCCTCCTATGCCACCACTGACCCCCAACCCATCCCTTTTCTGCTCCATAGAAAGGGTGAGGTCTTCCATGGAGGATCATCAAAGTCTGTCACATCATTTGAGCCTTGAATTTTAATCTCTACCTTTTTGGCCATGACCTAAAAACAAAAGCAATGATCACAAATCCTAAAATGTTGGTGTGTGTGTTTTTTTAATTGTAGCAAAAGTTGTAACAAGAAATTCAAATCAAGTTTTTGATTTCTTGAATGACATGAAATGAATTTACATGTGGTGAGCCTACCTACCTTGAATACTTTAGGACCTCCAATTCAAGGACAAAGCCAGTTTACTAGACACTTGGCCATTAAATAGGATGATAAACAGCAGCCTAGTTTATTTTTCAGAATTAGCCCACTTTGTGACTGGAGGTCAGTGAATTATATGGAAGGCTCTTCCATTATCCTCAGTTGCTAATTGGTTTCCATCCACTTTAACAATTGGCCATTGTGCCTCATCATCCGGAGGACATAACTGAGTGCCACTCAGAGGCTTGCAAGGCCACTTTACAGAAAGGGGAGAACATAGCTGCCTAAATTGGAGGAGAAGCAAATGTCAGGTTCCCAAATGATAATAATACAATTTCTCCCCTTTTCTCAGAAAGCATAAACAACACTGTGTTCTACACTACCCCCATGGTAAAGGAGCGTCCCTGAAACAGCTTAGGTAGACATGAGACTATTCACATCACCCAAAATAAAAAGAGGAGAGGAAAAGACTGGCAGAGAATCACCTGCGTGATAGTTTTATCTGTATATTAATTTTACATCTGGGAGTTTGTTTTGAATACTTGTCAGATGACCACATGCATGTACTCAAATGATACTATCTTGTGCAGTTAAACTAAGCACAGAGTAAAAGACACCATATGATCCCACACCTGTGGGATCTAGGACCTCACAAAAGCAAGCAACAGAATACAGGTTGTCAGAGGAAGACAGAGGCGGGCGGGTAAGAATTTGGTCAAAGGGTGTGAAATATATCATAGAAGCTTATTGTACTCTGATGGAAATCATAGTTAATTACATGTGTTACATTTGAAAAAGCTTTAAAACAAGATTTTAAGAATTCTCACCTCCTGAGAACATTGAGAGCATGGGGAGGGTAGGAGAAAGAGAAGGGAAGGGGGAAGGAGAGCATGAGGGACCAGGACGACCAAGTCAGGGGAAGAATAGAGAAGGAAAGCAAGAAAAGCGATGCCTCAATAGAGAGAGCCACTATAGGTTTATAGAGAAATCTGGCACTAAGGAAATGTCCAGGGATCCACAAGGATGATCCCAACTAAGATTCTAAGCAATAGTGGAGAGGCTACCTTAAATGCCCTTCCCCTACAATGAGATTGATGACTACCTTAAATGCCATCATAGAGCCTTCACCCAGGAGCTGATGGAAGCACAAGCAGAGATCCACAGGTAAGCACTGAGCCAAACTCCTGGGATCCAGTTTCCAGTCGCAGAGAAGGAGGAGTGATGAGCAAATGGGTCAAGACCATGCTGGGCAAAACCCTCAGAAACAGCCAACCTGAGCAAGTGGGAGCTCAAGGATTCCAGTCTGACAGCTGGGGAATCAGCATAGGACAGAACCAGGCCCCATGAAGGTTTGTGTCAGTTGGGAGAAATGGGCAGTCTATGTGGCCTCTGGCAGTGGAACCATTATTTATCCCTAGTGCAGGAATGGGCTTTGGGGGCCCATTACCCATGGATGGGTACTCTCAGCTTGGATATACAGGGCAGAGCCTAGGCCCTGCCCAAATGATGTGACAGACTTTGATGCTCCCCCATGGGAGGCTTCACCCTCCCTAGAGAGTGAATGGGGAAAGGGATAGGGGGTTAGTGGGGGACATGGGAGAAGGGAAGGGAGAGGGACCTGGGATTGGTATGTAAAAAAAGATTGTTTTTAAATTAAATGAACGTCTACTTTTTAAAAAATGTAAGTTTAGGATGTAATGTTTGTGATAAGTAGCCTGATGGAGCCATCACACAATTTATGCATGTGTTTGAGAAACATCATGCTGTACACAATTAACATATGATGTCTGTCAATTTAAAAATATAATAAAGAAAAGCTTAAAAGCATCAATTCATCTGTAGCTTGGAAATGCTTTCTGCCTACAGCGCTCTGCCCTGACTCCAGACATATCGTACCCCAAGATTCTTTAACCAGCACATAATTTCAACCTTGGCACTTCAGATGCACACTTGGTTGACACTTTAATTATTTTAAATTAGAAAAATCTGTATTATTTTTACATGGTCTGCCTGATGTCATCCACAAACACACAAGGTGCAAGAAAACATTGGCAACTTCTTCCATGCTTCATTTACTCATGGTTAAGGCAAAGAAAATCTCTCAATGATTTGTGTTCCTCTGGTCAGGGAGGGATAGCAGACTAGAAAGAGGCTGCCTCAGAGTGAGAGGGGAACCATGGTGGTCTTGTGCCTGGGGCCAGGCCCTTCATTTTTCCCTTGCTAGCAAGATGGCTCTGCCATACTAGAAGCCATCATTCCTATTCTTACTCCATTCCTCAAATGGTATGAAGCCCCTTCCCAAGCTGCCTCATGAGAACCTTAGGCATTTAACAGTTTACCCAAACTGTACATGACTATACACCTGGAGATCCCTTCTCATCTCCTGTCACTTGCATGTCTTGGAGGGCGCTCTGATGCCCAAGGCAACAAGATGACTTCCTCCTTCCTAAGATTATGCCAGACATAAAATGGGTGGGGTGAATTGATTAACATGGTCCCATTTGCTCCAGTTCCGAGTCAATCATGTTTGACCAAAACTAATTACTACAAACAATACCTTAGGGCAGATTTTATTGCAAAGACCCTGAGCCAGATCTTGGCTTTAATGTGGGGACAGATACAGCGAGAAGAGAGCTGAATGGTTGGGAAAGAGAGCCTTCACTCACACAGCTCTTCCCTTTTGATAAAAGTCCAATAATCTGTGTGAAATTGGTTATTATGGGTGGCTAACAACTTCTTTTGTTAGTTAATGGCCCAAGGTGAGGCCAAAAGCAGTTTCCACTGTACTAACTGTCTGGTAAATGCAGCCATGATTGATTTGGAGGGAATTATAGGCACAATAAAAATTTCAAGGAACATTTCCTCTTTCGTGCACATAACCCAGTATAAACCCATTCCTTCTCTCTCTCCCCCCTCTTTCTCCCGTGTGTGTGTGTGTGTGTGTGTGTGTGTGTGTGTGTGTGTGTGTGTGTGTGTGTGTGTGTGTATGAGAGAGAGAGAGGACTGGGATATATTGTTCTTTCCATCTGTAGACAAAGCTCCACTCTGAGCTGCATCAGTAACATTGGAGCAGAGGGATGTAAAGTTAGTTTCCTTTCATTGCCTTCATCTTTTTTGTTCATTGCAACAGAAGTATCAGGCAGAAAGTCAAGATGGAGTACTAATAATTACTGTAACAACAGTAATGTTTATCAGTGGCAAGCCAAGTGTGAAGTAGCACTGTCCATACTGTGCAGATAAATGTTAATATGTTCCTGAAATTTCCCTCCTTCTAAAAGACCTGTATGCAAGAGATTGACCCTGGACTGGCATCTAGGAACTTGGCTTTGGGAGCAGCCCTAACCAATAATTTACACAATAAGAGTGGTTCTCTTGAAAACAGTATTGTTTATTCATAATGTTCACTTTTCACTATATGTCAGACAGACAGTGACTCTGTGATCATCACTAATTTTGGAATCCAAGTCTCTAGTAAGTTCTTTGGTAGAGGATGCCTATATGTCAGCACTTCTTGTTAAAGCAATCAGTTTGACATGTGTGACTCTATGTGTGTGTGTGTGTTTGTGTTTTATGTATGTGTGTACATACATGCTTCTCTTTGTGCACATGTGTGTAAAACCTAGAGTTTGACATCAATGTGATTTTTTTTTCCCCTTTGAGACAGGATTGCTGCTTGAACTTGTCACTCATTGATCTGGTTAAGCAAGCTTGACAAATAGTTTTGTCTGGCAGGAAAACTTTACTGACTGACCCATCTCTCCAGCTCAAGCCTTTTCCTTTGCTGAGTTTGCTCTGAATGTTTTCTTTAGAAAAAAACAAGAGCCAAGCTCCATGTTTCCTCCTAGTGAGTTACCATGCTTAGGAGTGGTCCTGAGCTTCCCTAGCATTCCTTACAATCTAAGAGAGAAGATGAGGAATTCAAGTTTTGTAAGGGCTAAGCAGGTTGGACTATATTAGGTATTCAAAAGGGTTATGATCAGGGATCAAACAGTCCAAAGCCTGAGTCCATAAATAAGGTGCACACCACTCATATAGGCTCTTACTAATCAGGTGCTGCTGGAAGAGAGTGACTGCATTGAGTATATAATGAATCTTCATCACTGTATCTATTTATGACTTGGTTTTTAAAATAGCTCTTCTTCAATAGGATGAAAATAACAGGAGGGTAGTATCACACTTGCATTGATGATCCTCTAAGTGCCCGATAAAGCCCCTTAAACACATTAAGAATTCAATAAATATTTCCTGAATGACTTTGTGAGTGGTTAGGCATTTCCTGCGTAGTTCATTTCTATTGGTCCCCAAACCCTGTGAGGCCAAGCAGTGCTTCGATTTAAGCCATTTTACAATTGGAATTAAGCTAGAGGTTATATATTATAGATCAGCATGATAAAGACATAATTGATCTCTAGTCCAGGTTACTTCCTATACAGTTTAATTATATGCCACTGTTGTACTTTTCACTAGAAGATCAAATAGCTCACTATTTCCCAGGAGCCTTTCAGGAATATGATATATACATACAAGAGTTTACATAACCACTGGGTTATTAATAGGAATGGAGTTTCTCTTATTCACTTAAACTCTTCAAACATGTAATTTTCATTTTATGATAGTAATCCCTGCTGATCCATTTTAACCTAACTCAATTTCAGTTAGCCAGAACCAATTACAGACTAAAATTATTAGGTAGAAAATACAAAAGTAAACAGAAAAGCCCTAATTTCTCAATTGCATATTGTTCTGAGTATCATGATTGAATTGAATGTCATGTTGACCATGACATGTGTCATACTTTCAATGTAACACACACACACACACAATCTGCATACTAGCAGTAGAAAACAAAGGGTATAATACAACTTTTGGTTTTAAGAATCCTTTAGATCTTGGAATATTTTCATCATGGATAGCTGAAAAGCTTTTCCTAAAATAAAGAACAGAGAAGTCTTTAAATCCCTAAGTATGACTGATGAGGTATTATGAGTCACCATCAGCCCACATCAACATTCCCTAAACTCACATCTAGAACCAATATTATTCATGTTTCAGTTAACATGATTCAAGTTTCAGTAAAGGTAAGAAACAAAAATTACTCAGCTAAAAAACAAAACAAAACAAAACAAACAAACAAACAAAAAAAAAAACCAAAAATCAAACAAACAAAAACCCCAGAACCTTGGCTGTTTCCACCCAGCAGCAGCCAGTATCATTGAAGCCAACTACAGTGCAACACAAAATTGTATTTACAAAATAATGGATGTGAAATATCCTTGGATATATAAAATGTTTTTTTCAAAACAGATTCAGTTCTTGCAATCAAGCAATTGAAACACGTGCTTTTTAAATGTCCCTTCTGTTCTTCCAAAAGAGCCAAACATTTAGTCTGAAAACTGAACCCATGACCATCAACTAAATGGGTACCTATTCTCATTTATTCTTTAGGAATATCTAAAGCAAAGAGAAAAAAAATGTTTTGTCTACATACGAGTGTGCATGTGCCCATTTATGTGCATCAGCCTATCAGAATGGTGCTACAAAGCAAAGAACCTTGGTTAATATTACCCATACATTTAAAATATGCAATCTATTTACATTACATGCAATCATGAAATTACATTATCAATGAATTCTGTTCAATGTTTTGACTAGGATGACTTTAGGAGCCACAATGAACCTGGTTTCAGCTCTGAACTCTAGAAAGTGGAATCCGGACAGATGGAGTTGCCAACTGGGAAACGGGACTGGGAGGGCTTGCTCATTGCTACTTACAAACCACGTGCAGGAACAGGACAGCTGTATCAGAACCAAGGTTGTTCTCTGCATAGGCTGTCACCTGGAAGATCCCTGCACTCTTATACACATGCTTGATGCCATCCTCAATGGGGCTGAAGTTGGCATAGGACACAGCAATACCATCCCCAAAGTCAAGCTGGATGTTCGTCCTTTGGAGGTCACCCTGTAAGGGAATAGAAATTGGTCTGGGTCCCTCCACAAGGTTCTGTTGATACTAATTCTAAAAGCATCAACATTTCAACCCTGAAAACCAACAGAGTTGTCTCCTTAGCACAAGCTAATATTCATGAAGAGCCGTGGGCAAGGGCTAGGGACTTGCATGTCCAACCTTGGAGTTGCATGATTTGGTAGGACTCTGGCAAACATGTAAGGAAGAGGATATCCAAAGTTCTGAAATGGGAAAACCAAGTACTCTGGACCTCACAAACGTGTCTTAACTCTTCTTCTGTGTCATGATAATAATAGCAATTAAGCAATGCTTAGCATTGTAACATAGTTTCATAACAAGCCAAGCAGTGAGTACCTTCAGCTTTAAGTTGCAGAGTTTTTATTTGAGCGTTGTGCCCATTTCTCTGTGTGATCATATGTATGTACGAACATCCGAGGGAAGTAAATAATAGGAAGTATTACTTTCTAATAGTTGTAGAAAGTATTACTGTCCTCATTTTTAAAGTAAGGGTAAAATCTTGCCTACATTAATAGTCACGCAGCTAACAGCAAGGAGAACCAAGTTTTGAATTAAGACTAATTTCTTTAATAACCAGGCCATAATCTCCATTATTCTTATTTTCAGATGTCTGTTATTTAATTTAAGAGCTATGCTAGCCAATTAACATGGATTAAACAGCATCTTCACAATAGCAACAGGGGGCAGATAATTATTACCATTCTAGAGACGAATACTGCATGCTATCTAAATTAATTTACCCTTGTTTTCTTGCCTAGGGTTGCCTGAAACCTGCCTGAGCCACCCTCTCTCCCAAAGCTCTGCTGAGTGTGTCAGCCAACTAATGTCTCTGCTTCTTGGAGGTCCAAGCATACCTTGGAAACTGCCAGTAGCCTAAGTGAGTACACTACCACCCCAAGCTGTTAGCCTCTCATGGCAATGTTGAACCCTATCCTCATCATACACTTTGGGTGAATAAATAATGTAGACTATAAAATAAAGATCTAGAATGAAGAAGGGTTAAAAATAAAATCTGTTTATATAGTGAGATGGAAGATGGAATAAAGGGAGAATTGTATTCAGGAATTATTAACAGACAAGGTTTGGATATGACGTTTCTCCCAGACAATGTTGTATGTTAGAGGTTGGTCCACAGCTAGAGATGCCAGTATGGAATGTTTCAAAAACTTAGTGATGGGGGATGTCCTTCTGTATGCTATGAATATGTTTCTCTTACTGTTTGGCAAATAAAGTTGCTTTGCCAATGGACAGGCAGGATGTAGCCAGGCAGGAAATATAGGCAGGGCTACCACACTAGGAAAATGCTGGGAAGAGGGACGCAGAGAGTGAGTCAAAAGAGACACCATGTAGCTATAGGGAAAGTAGGATGACTGGGCATTCTCCAGTAAGCCAAGACCATGTGGAGATACATAGATTAACGGAAATGTGTTAATAATTAAGAGAGAGCTAGCCAATAAGAAGCCTGAGCCTCCAGGTCAAACAGCTTATGATTAATACAAGCCTCTGTGTGCTTATTTGGGACTCAACAGCTGTGGGACCAGGCGGGACACAAACTTCTGTTAACAATTTAGGAATTTGGACCTAAATCTTTCTGTCTCTCCTTCTCTCTGTGTCTTTCTGTGTGTGTCATTCTCTATGTCTGTCTTTGTCTCTCTCTGTGGGTCTGTCTCTCTCTCACTTGCTCTTGCTCATGTTTGCTCACTTGCTCTTGCTCTCTCTTGCTTTATACTCTCTCATTCACTCTCTTCGTCTTCACCATGAGTGAGGAAGCTCTTCCACCAGACTCCTCAACTATGAACATGGGCAACCAGAGACTATGGACTGAACTTTCTGAATTTGTAAGCCAAAAATCTTTCTTCCTTTGGAACCAAACTTCTGGCTAATACACAAGCCAAAACCTCTGCCCCAAGACTGCACTGGACACGCTGTCGCTTTACGTCTCTCCCACCATGGCAACACAGATGTGACTGAAATACTGATGGGTGCTCTTTTGACCCTCATACAATGTCAACTACCCTTGAGTTTATAAATGTAAATTAAAGTGGAAATGAACTGGAGGCAATTGAAACTGATAAGATCGTGGCTCTTCACATCCATTTGAGAAAGTTTTCATAGCTCTGGTCCTGGAAACTCTCTAGTGGAACTGTGATAATGACCTCCTCTGAATCTCCAAGTCCTCTAATTCAAGTACCAGTGTGAGGGAAGGGATGGGGACTCTGCCAGGCCTGGATAAGAAGCCTGCACCTTCCTTCACAGTGTGGTCTGGATTTTAAAGGCTCAGAAGTGCTCAGACTAGTGAGAAAAATGTCCTGGCTTGCTTTGCTCCCTTTCAAAGATCTCAAGAGCCCCCAAGCAATTTGCATATAAATTTAGAGGGCATTGTCAATCAGGCGAGCCTTGCAGCTCTATCAGTCCAGCAAAGAGAGCTAGGAAAATCCCTGGTTTGGGTAGAAGGAACATCTCACACAGGGAACAAGCAGATGAGTGACCTGGAGTAACAGATTTTACTGCGTAGATTGCAAAGGATACTAAGCAATGAGCTAATGAAGCTGGGAGCTGGTATGGAAGCAACCAGTGCTCTGATCTATACAAATTTGACTTTGAACACCATTTCATTCATCTTCCCCATCCTCTCAGTCACATGTCTGAGACCCCTTAAAGGCTTGTGGGCTCTTCTAATTAGTGGGGCTAAGGCTAAAGTAAGAAAGGTTCTGAAAGTCGGCAGCTACACTTTGAATTTCTTTGTTTCTCTCACACATTTTACAGGTTACATGCTTAAGATGATAAGAATATAACCAGGTAGGTTATAATGGCACAAGCTATAACCCCAGTGCTCAGGAGGAGGAAGCACCTGGAAAGCAAGTTTATTGAGTATGGGCTGCACTGTGAGTTCAAATCTGGCCTGAGCTATGTAGTGAGTCTTTACGTCAAAAGAGTCTAGGTAGATGTCTCAAACAAACAAACAAACAACTAAAGGCTGGGGCTATATGGGGCTATAGTTCAGAACTAAGGTCTTGAGTTCAGTTCTGAAAACAGGGGACATTAGAGGCAGGTGGGGAAGGGAGATAACCACAGTGAGCAAGCAAGCACTCTCTTCCAGAGGCTCTGTGAATGGGGTCTTTATTACAAATGAATGGAGAGGGTTTCTGAAAAGATTTAATTTCCTTCCCTTCTTTCCCTCTCATTCTTGACATTAGAGCTAGTGGGAATCATAGATCTCTGTTTCCCTTTTCTTTCCTGAGATCTAGGAATTGTCAGCATGCGGATTCTGACTGCAGATACCCGAGTTGTCACCTACCTCTTCCATTAGAATGATGAAGGTTGCATTATGGCCCTGCTCCGCCACCAGGCGCCCATCAGTGGTTACCACATGGAGGCCCCGAGGAGCTTTTCCTGGACACAGCTGAGTCTTAGCAGAGTACTTATCCCTTAACCCATCTGTGCAGTTGTTGGATACAATCCTACGGTACCTAAAGAGATTTGACAAAAGACATTTCTGACAATGCTGCAGTTTGTAGTGTGTGTGTGTGTGTGTGTGTGTGTGTGTGTGTGTGTGTGTGTGTATGCGCGCACATGTGTGCGTCAGGAAGAGAGGGCAAAAGAAACAAATAAAAATAACTTCTCACAGTTGCTCTTAAAAGCCAAGTCTGCAAAACTACAGCTATTCACAAAGACAAACAATCCTCATGAGCTACTAACCCTCCACCTTAGGAAGGCCAGCTCCTTAAACATTATTATTGATTCCACCTAGTGCACCAGGGATCGGATCAGTGTCTAAACCAGCCAAGAAAAATCAATGCTGGCTCCCACACTGCAGAAGAGGAGGCAGACTCTGGGCTGGTGAAGCAGGGAAAGCGAGCACACCCTGTCAGCTAAAGGAGCGTTCCATTTCCCCAAGGCCACCTCCAAATTTCTCTGTACCAAGTAGCAGACAAACACCAGCTTCTAATCAGATGGCTTCTCCCTATCTCTGTGTAATCACAGGATGTCATTAGTGGAACATCTAATTCAAATTTCAAAAAAAAATAACAATGATAACTTTGATTCTGGAGCCGCTAGGCTATTTAATAACACATTTTCCCCCACTTCTAAATCCTTATTTCCTCCTCAATCCAAATGCTACATTAGAAGCATAGGTTTGAAACTCTTATTCAACACTGATTAAGTAAGATTACTTTTCAAAAGGGATTAGACTGGGAAACCTCTCTATATAACACTGCCAATTAGTATGGCAATAGCATTATATGTACAGTAATGTCACATCAATTTCCTTGACCTCTGACCCAAGAGCTTGACTGCAACCTGACCAGCCACAGAGACATTATTTTCAGAAAATACATGATACATTCATTATCTCTAAAACTGGTGTTCTAAGCAAACCACAAAATAAATGTCACACTACTACCACTCTGCCATTACCACCACCACCATCAGCATGAGCACCACCGCCAAACAACAACACCATGAACATCACCACCAATGCCAATACCACTACAAACACCAATACCACCACCACCACCACCAAAACCACCACCACCATCCCTATCACCAACAATAACACCAACACCACCATCACTACCAACTCCACCACCCACAGCACCAGTCCCACCACCACACCCACCCTACCACCACCAACACCACCATACCCAACCACAACCCCAAAACCACCATCACTACCAATCCCACCGCCGTCATTACTACCAATACCACCACCACCACCAACACCATCACTACCAACACCACCACAAAAAACAACACCATCATTGCCATCAGTTTTTGTCTTCTTTCATCCTCTACATCAAGAATAATCAATCCATCCATGGTCTTATTCTGAAAGACTCAACCATCAAAATTCTAATGATACTGGTCCTTTATTATATCTGATTTTTCCTCCTTAACATCCCCCACTTCTGAATCACCCACCCCATCTACATCTTCTTCCAGAGATCACAAGTTATGCAAACCAAATACTACAGTTAGCTCTTGACTCAAATGAAATTATGTCATTATCAACTGTCAACTGAGCTATATCAGTATCTTTACTATCCAGTATGGCAGCTGCTATCCACACAACACTATCAAAGGCTAGAAATGAAACAGAACACCAAACAAAATAGAATATTAAAATAATTTTCACCTTTAATTATTTTAAATATGATGAGAAATTTACAACTATACATATGATTCATACTGTAGTACTTTTTGATCATTAATGACTTAGCTAAAATAAATTATTCTATGTTAATCTTTCTGGGTCATCTTTACTTACAAGATATTTAGTTTTTACTCAAGATCAGCATCTTAGAGCTACTTGTATCATAGGCAAACTTCACATCAACCACTTCCTTTGTCAGCTTGCTACCATGTTAACTCTGTTAGTAATATAATATAGACCAAACTTATGAAAATTGGAGGTGTCTACATATTTCTATAGGAAATCCTTAGAGGGGGAAGTAAATAGATTTTTTCATTTCCCTGACTTATTTACTTAGCTATTTGCTATTTTGGCATACATAATTTACTTAAACTTAGATCTAGCTCTATATGTTCCATGATTATATGAAATGTCCTAAGAGAAATCATTCCTAATGATTTCTAAAAGATGACAAGGCTAGAAGCTGGCTTTTGTGGATCATTCCATGTGACCATTATGCTCTCCTTGCTCTCTGACAGTACTTCCCCTTAAGTTGAAATTGTTGAATTTGCATTAAATGACTTAAATCTTAAAACATATTCCTACAAAAGCACTACAATAGAAGAATGAAATGTCCAGCGTGATGTCAAGGAATATGTGTCCCAGAATCAAATATTCACCGAAAATGTGGTGGGTTTAGAGTATTTCAGAATACTCACCACACTCATCCTACCAGGTTTGTGTTTCCTGAGTAGATAGCAGATGTTTAGGCAAGTACCAACTACTCTTTGCAACCACACAGACTCAAGATCAGAGGTTGGGTAACTTGGCTAAGACGGTAGAAAAAACAGTTGCGGAGATGAGAGTGGAGTGTCTCTGCTTTCCTGAGAGTGGTGTAGTATCCTCTCTACCTCCCAGGGACATTATTACTAATGATGAAATAGCTTCACTGTAGATATCCAAAGCCAGAAGCTGACTCACAGAACCTCATATAACAACAAGATGTATCAAAACATGAGAACTATGTCACAGTCCCACCTGCCAACTCCACAGAACTTTCATGAGTCATAGAAGCAGTAAAGGAAAGGAAGAAACAATGCACCTCCAGGAAAACCTTTTGCCAAGTGAACAGTCAGGGCACAACAAACAATTAGACAATTACTGGAAGTATCCTGAATTTTCTTCTTCCAGAACTATCTAGGATGAGGCTTGTGAATGTGTATTTGATATGTCTAGTGATAATGTTTGAGAATGTCCATTGATCTCTCACCAGGGAACAAATGACAATATTCACACACTATTTTGATCAATTTACATGTGTTGAGCCCCAAGAGGTAAGGCAGGCAAGTCAAGTTATCTTTGGCTAAACATTTCCTTCCTCAGAAGCCTCTGAACACAAACTTACTCTATCTATACTCATCTTTTTCAAGAAGGATACTCTCACTTCATTTAATCTTTGAGAATGAACTACTTGAGTCCCTCCAGGTATTTTACTTACCCAGTGCTATTAAGGTAGCTTTGACCAAGGCTGCAGTCCTTGGAGGGGGAAGCTGGGTTGTACCAGAAAGCAGGAACACACTGGCTTTCCCCGTGTCTCTCATAGCCATAGTCACTGTCAAGAAAATAAACATGGTAGAATCATATGTATGTACAAATGTTAAAACACCCAAAGACATACATAAATATACTCATGTCCTCCCCAAAGTCATAACTCATTATTTTAATTAGCCCTATGAGACAAAAAAAATACCCATGCTTTAAAAAATAGTATGTTTTTAGGAATGGTATCACCATTTAGAATTGCAGTCTAGAGAGAAAAATGAACTATCAAAACAAAATCTAGACTAGAAAGTACATGAATTCAAATATGTACCAGGTTCAATGGCTTGGAGGTGAGAGTGGGGGACACTACACATTTAAATCACAGAATGAATTAAATAAGAAAATGACAACCAGAAATATGACTTTAAAGGTCAAGATATATTTTTATGTATAATGATTCAATATGTACTATCTGAAGATTGATTTCATAGAATTTATATTCATTTTACTTTAAACTGAACTGCTTTCAAGCTTGTGGTATTTGTGTGTGTGTGTGTGTGTGTGTGTGTGTGTGTGTGTGTGTGTATTCACATGTATGCCAATAGAAATTCAAACTTCTCTTAATTGGATAAGAGACCTATAGTTTTTAAAAATAAAAGTAGGGCTCTTTCCTTCGCTTCCACACAGTCACATGTCCCTGCTTCTGGAGTTGTATAAGGTGCTTGCACATGTAAATGTCAAGAATATGAGTGTCAAAGTGGGTGGAGGGACTATGCTCCTACAGCCTGCTGGAGCTCACTGAGAGCACCCTCTCTCCATTATCCATGCCTCCACATTCAATGTCAGAAAAGAATCCCTGCAACCCGAGGGCCCAACCTCATCATCAGAATAGCTCCCCACTGGGTGTGGAGGAAGCATTGGACAAAAAGGCAAGCTGTTCTCTGTGCTGTGTTAAGTTGCTTTCCGCTCCCATAGTCTTGAAAATACTGTGTAATTATGTGAGTGAATGCAGGACAGGAATGGAAGGAAAATGGGTACTCGATGTAACAATGCCTCATTTATCCATATGTCATGACCCATCAAACAAATGTGACAAGACCTGTCCTCAACTGTGTCTTCAGTCCTGTAAGGAGATATCTCACACCCCAAACCTAACACAACATAAAGAAGTGCTGACTGACATTGCTATCCACATAGTAACCTCCAACTACTTCTAGTGGCCCTTTAGCCCACATTATTTATTTTTGTATGTTATACTATGGGTGTGCATCACTGTCCCTTCTGTGTTTTGCAGTTTCTTCTTTATTCTTCTTTCATCTTTAGGCTATATGAGCTAATCCATGGTTCACTGCTTATAATTTTCAGGGCTACCATATGTTAGAAACTATATTGGCATTGATTTTCACCAATTAAGTCATCCGTAAAAATGTTACAAAGTGAATTAAAGTCATGGTTGCACAAGAACCATGCATTGTGTCTATTTCTACAAGATTGGGAGGCTTCAATGATACTGTAGGGATAACTGCAGGAAGTATGCCCAAATGCCCAAAAGATGACTGCAGTGGGTATGAGCAGGGTCGCCAATCAATGGAAAGGCACAATGCAAGAGCATCTTTGAAACAACCATGCTTCAATGAACCTGGAAGAAAGGAAACAAAAGGGACATTTCTGCCAGGTGAATCCTTCGACAAGTGTCTGGCCTGCTAGTAGAGAGCCCCTGGCCCACAGTTCATCCAGACTTAGAATAGCTTGAAATAACCCATGAAATCTGGCTCTTAAAATTTGGGGCATTTTGTAAGGTGATTAATGGCTGTTACAGCAATTACCAAAATTAAATTATATTGCATTTTGCTCAGATAAATTATATTTAATAGTCAATAAAAATACACAAGACATATTTTCCCATTGTTTTACCTCATTCTAGCTTTATATAGCTCTAACATACTGTACGTGTGTTACTACATACAATATATTCTAAGTTACATATGAATATTGTTACATTATGTATGGCCTCAGGGGCTTTTATATCCATGTATCTGTCTCACAGGAACACTATATAAAGGGAGGCTATTGCTTAGTTCCTCTCAGTCCTTCAATCATTGGTATAATGTTGACATCGGCCATTGGGGGAATATGTGCATACCTTCAGTGTTTGTTCCCTGAGAGTTAAACATTTGTCTGCACACCACTGAACATTGCCTTTCAAAGCATTGTTTAGCCCAGAAGTACTGGACCCTGGTATGCACATACTAATCCCAGAAAACTCCTCTATGGCTCTATGAGCTGAAACTGTTGACCAGTCCTGTTGACCCTAGGAAACACTGGGGATCTTGGAAAGGAAAGAATGCCTCTCTTAAGCAGCCTTGGGGAGAATAGAAATGTTTTCAAGGTTCTTTGCAAAATGCAACCATCCTCAGCAGTTCTGTTCAGCTCTGCTACCTGTTGGCACTGCAGTAATTAAAAAAGGTGCATCAAGCGTGCTGCTCTGCCCCAAAGAGCAAAAGCAGCTCATTAATATTTAACAACACTAACCGAAACCAGCTGCCTCCAAGCTGTGGACTTCTTCATTAATTTCTGCTAAATGCATATTAAACTCTTTTGCACTGTCCAGCCTCCCTCCCAACTCATGAGTCTGCAGGTTTTAAACAAACAAACAGCCGCTGGTCCAGCTTCCCGGGGAAAGGTGTAAGGTGATGGATGAATTGTGAGACTTGAACAGGATACAGCAGAAAGTCTGATTTGCCTCCGGGCGAATACTGCCAGATTTTGCACACATGCAGGCAGTTTACCTCAAGACATAATTTACCCCTGTGTGTTGCTTGATTATGAAGGCAATAGAATGTCCCTCTGTTTAGGGAAAAATATGTCCATTTCTAATAATATGTATACGGTCCAAACCCGGCCCAAGGAAAAGCCTCAGATTCAGAAGGAAGAATAGCAAAGACAGTTCAGAGATTAAAAAGTGTGTGTCACCATAGGAAAGGGTAGTTATGCAACATGGATCTAATTCACTCTGCTTTTGAGCTGTAAAGAAACAGGTGAAAGAGAATGAAGGACTTGCCAGATATTGTACAAAGCTACTCCCAGCATACAGAGTTACCACTGCATCAGAACATGTTCCATGCTCCCTACGAACAACATTCTGAATTAAAAAATAAAATTATTTTAAGTGTGTGTGTGTGTGTGTGTGTGTGTCTGTGTCTGTGCATGCGTGCAAATAAAATTATTTTAAGTGTGTGTGTGTGTGCATGTGTGCATGCGTGTGTGTGTGTGTATACACATAAGTGCAAGTGCCTCTGGAGGCACTCGATCCCCTCAAGCTGGATGGAGTTACAGGTGGCTGTGAGTCATCCAACTGAAGGGAGATGTCATTCTGTAAATATGTTTTTCATATTGGTTAATGAATAAAGCCCTATTGGCCAATAGGAAAGCAAGATAGGTGGGACCAGGAGAGGTGGAGGATTCTGGGAAATGGAGGAGAGGACACAAGTCTGGAGTTCTTGGTAAGATGAGACCGGGTAGAAATATATATATTAGTAATTATGGATTAATACTTAAGAGAGAGCCAATAAGAAGCTCTAGCCATTGGCCAACAGCTTTATCACTAATAGAGTCTCTGTGTGTTATTTTGGGACTGATGCGGCTGTGGGACCAGGCTGGCAGGAAAGTGCACGTGGGTGCATGTTTCTAACTACTAAGCCATCTCTCCAGTTCCTTCTGAGACTCTTGACCAGTCAGAAAGTCAAGGCCTCTTCCCAAAAAGCTTCAGGGTCTAAGTGAGTGTTTGGCCAGGCAGACGCCAGCACAGTGTCTCTGGCCCCTCTCTGCTTTCTTGCCACCTAGCAGCTGAGGTTTCAGGACATACGCCTGACAGGTACTTGGATACCATTTTATGAGTGCTTTGGGATGGGCTTGGGACCGGGTGGATCTTCTCAGGTACAGTGGGAGACCCCTCGAAACAAGAATAATAACTATCATCCTCATTCAGCAAGGCATGAACCCAAATATGGCCACAAAAAAGAGACTACCACATCGTAGTTAAAAAATTACTCAGAAAACCTGACAATCTTCCCTTAACCATTTCTTTTGATCTAATCCCACTGGAGTCACCTGCCTTATCCTTTTCCCTGATGATGGCTTGCTTATTTATCTGCTCTGTTTAAGTCAGTCTGTTGCCATGTCCCTAAGTATATGCGTATTTAATTAAGTGTCATAGTTCCATTACTACTCCCCGAAAGGAGCCATCCATGATTGCATGTGAACTCTTTGTTCTGACATCCTCTCCACCTGTGATAAAGCCAGCTCTGTCTGTCTAACAGAACCTTCTACAGTAAAAATACTTCAAATAAATATGTTCCATTATGGTATCCACTAACCGATGCAACTAATTTAATTTAATTTTAATATAGATAATCACATGTGACTGGTGGCTACTAACGGATTACAAATTCAATAGTTTATTATACTATTTTTGTTCTGTTATGACATCTGATATAGTACCTCTTATTTATACATTGTTTGTTGTCTTGTTTATACTTTAGTCCACTACAGAAAAAAAAAAAATGCTTACTTATGTTCAAATGTGTAACACCAAATGTTGAATAGACTATGTCTGTGAAATTCCCAGATCTCTCTCCCTGTGTCTTCTGCATTGCAACCAGGTAATCCACCCCTTGGATATGGCTCCATACTAAACATGGAAGAAATCACCATGACATCCTAAGTCTCAGGCCTCAGAAATTAAGAAACACAGAATGCTTCACAAGGGGTTCCCTTCTATTCCCTATACCCTGCTTTACTTAGATTCTCATAGTAGTCCCCAAAGAAGGACTCAACACCACTTTAGTACTGTCACTAGAATTAAAATAAAAGCATAACACCCAAAGGAACAACTTTGAAAACAGTGCTTACTTAGTGTTTAAGCTCTGATTTATCTGGCATAAATCCTATGGGGATCATTTAACTCTGGGGAACAGATTCACTACTCCAGCCGTAGCAACAGCTACCATATGTTATAAGCTTATGTCGTACACAGCTCAGGTAATCGTCTTATTTATATTAATGATCTACCCTCATTCATTTACTAATTCTTTTATTTCTCCCTAGGACCTTGTGAGAAACATGTTATGTATTTTCATTTTGTAGCCAAGGAAATAATGACACAGAAATTAAGAAAATTTCCCAGAAGAAAAATCTGTGAATGTTAAGTGTTTGAGTTTTGTATATATGTTAGTAAATGCTAATAGAATAGGTTAAGGAGAGAAATACTATTTTATTGTCTTTTTTCCCCTTCTTACTTGTGAGTCTCCTTTGGATCAAGGAGACATAACAGAATTTACAGTGTGATATACTGAAAGGCAGTGAACCTCAAGGGAGCCAATCTGGAGATAGACACAAGGTACTCTGATTCAGGTGTGAAATGTCCCTCCCAGGCTCAAGACTTGACCACCTGTTTCTAAGCTGCTAAGGATGTTTCGGCAGGCAATGGAAACGTTAGGAAGTATATCTTCTACAGGAGAGCTGAGCCACAAAGGGTAGTCTTTAAGAATTTTATAACCTGGCCTGACCTGGTCTGTTTTATGCTTCCTGCCCTCCCCATATTTACAGAGTCCAGTGCATATTCCTGCCACCATGATGGACTAGAGCCCCGTTAGCCATGAGACCTAGTGACTGCTTCTTATTTCAAGTTGCCTTTTCAGGTATTTGCCACAACAGTGAGACAATATCCTTGTTATACTTCCGAGGAGACTATTACATCTACTTGATATGATTACACACTTACCTGTTGTTCATAATTTTAAAACAGTTTCCCATCTGGGGAAATATTCTCATTTTCAAAGGAACTTCTAACACAAAGGGCCCTGCCATTGAAATTTAAATTCATGTGGCGTATCTCACTTTAATGAATCTCACTGAAGCCAAGTTATGTAAGAATGAAGAACAGATGGGGGATACGCATGATCAGTCTACACCAGTGACTTTCAGTTATCTGTTGAAGTTCTGGTAAATTCAGGAAATAGAAACATGATTTCTAGATAATGGCGATATGAAATGGAGAAGAGAGGAGGAAGGCTCCTGTGTAAGGGTGAATGCCCTATGCTCTTCGGTATGCATTGCTATTCTCCACCAGAGAACCCCAAGCACAACTCTGCCATTGCCCCGTCCCCTTCCTCAACTATGGGCCGATGTTCGAGCCATTAGCTCTCTCTTCTAGCCTACAGTAATCACTATCAATGGTCAAATGGAATTTCAGCTTCTGATGGAATACATAGGAGGCATTCATGTAGCTGAGACCAGAAGGATGTCCACAAGAACAACATTCAAAAACATGTTACAACTCTTTATTGAATGTTTACTGTAGAGTCGGCACTGGGATTTTAAAAGTAAAGGAAGTTTAAAGCTCCTACATTCACAGCACTTAGATTCTGCTGGGGAAAGACAGATGTTAATAAGACATTCCAAAGCACAGTCACTTCATACGGGGAATACTAACAAGACAACAGCATGGGGGTGTGCTAGAGAGCACCAGGGTATGCAGATGAGACAAGGTGTCCTCCGCATTTCTAAGAGGCTAACAATTTTGAAGAAACATGAGAGATAAAAAGGTGTCAGCCACGCTGAAACATGGGGAAAACTGTCGTATTCTCCAGTGCTTCTCCTAGGAATGAGAGTTGATTAACTACTGGAGTTGGTAGTATGGCTGTAACACAGCTAGTGAAAGACCAGTTTAGAAAAGCAGAAAAGGATGACAGGCCAAAGGGCTTTTAACAAGGCAGCAACTTAAAGGAGAGAGAATCCATTAAGGTATCAGAAATAAGATATGATTTGGAATTTAAAAAAAAAATGTACCTGGTCCAGTAACTAGGACTGCAGACATACATCCAGGACTTTAGGGTGACAGTCGGGGGAGTGAGGGTAGAGTTAGTAGACTTTTGGCAGGATAATGACAGCTATAAGTGTGGACACAAGTGTAGTGAGATATTCACTCCACTTGTACCTGTTGCACTGACCACGCCCACTGGGGTGGGGACAGGTGCAGACATGACCTGGGAGAACTAGGTCTGGGGTCTGTGACCCTGGAGGCTCTCTCTTACTTGCAGGTCAGAGAGAGAGAGAGAGAGAGAGAGAGAAAGAGAGAGATCATCTGGAGGAATCTTTGGGACAGGAACCTGCTGGCAGTCATCTATCTCTGTTGTGACTTCTCCCTGAATAAACATCTATCAGCCTATCTGTCCTCCCAGATCCTTATTTTCCATGATACACAAGTGCTTTCAGGGACAGTGTATTTAGGAGGGAGAACCTGAAAGGGTTCACTGATGGCCTGGGTCTGAGGGTAGGGAAAAGAGAAGTCAGTCCAGGACTTTCATTTCAGCAAGCGTATGCATGGCTCTGTGTTTGCTTGAACCTGGAGAAAGTGAGCAAGGAGTGTCTTCAGCCATACGCATTATGCCCAGTCTCTTAGGAAACCAGATGCATGCCATGTAGGTTAGACAGACTTATATCTCTCAGATAAGAAAGGAGCTGGGGCTGGGGACAAGAAAATTTCATATTTGGGAGCCATCAGATATAGGGGAGATTAGATATCAGAATTCTAGACATAAATTTCACTTTTTCCTTGTCATTAAGTGCAGAATTGTAGTCTAAAACTGAAAGAATACAAAGATTTCCCACACAAAGAATTGACCAATCTTTGAGCAAATTACCTTGATTTGATCAATTCACAGGGTTATATGTACACAAATTATTGTTCTGTGTCATATAAATAAATGTAAAGATATGTTAAATGTAAAAACAAGAGGAAATGATGATAGAGTATACATAGGAGTACAATCTGAGAAAATATGTATAAACGGGACTGCATAGGCCAGTAGCTCTTTATGTCTCATCAGGGTCCATCACCACGCCTCCAGGACTATGCGATGTAGCTACTCACTCACTTTGATCATACAGCACCAGTATCACTCACACTTGTTCCTTCTGCATCTGGGTCAAACTAACTACAACTTCATCCTCACCTATAAGCATGTAAGTAGCTAGTTGGAACCGAAGATGAAATTTCAAAGGACTCACCATTCGAAGTCCCAGTCAGCACAGACACAAGGCTCTGATACCACCGACCCAGAGTAATCTCTGCCAAGGGCACACTGGGCACCTGGCTTGCGTTTCTTGAATATTTTCCTTTCCCCCATGACACAAGGCTCTCCCTTAAAGACAAAGTCCACAGTGAGATAGACAATAAAACACACAGGAGGTGAAATAAAACAGTTGGTCAACAAAAGCACTGGCCTTTAGTACTTAGCAATCTAATTTGTCAGTAACCATACAGTAGTTTCAAGGACAGACATGCTAACCTTTTACCACTGCATGAAAGGAGCACTATGGGCCACCCCTCTAGTCATTCTATACATGACGTCTGTGCAAAACTCTTCCTTCTCCATCTCTGTGGAGAACACAAGGACTTAAGACTCAACAGAGCAGCATGCCATTATCCAAGTGGCTTTAGCAGCTAAAGTAATGAGAAGTCAACTTCTGGCATACTGTTTCTACTGTTTATCTTCAAAGTAAAACTGAGGTTGACCCCGTAAGTGCAATCTCTCCACCCCCCCAAGTCTCTCTCTGTCTCTCTTCCTTTTCCTCTCTTCCCCTTCTCTCTCATAAATTATTACACTGAAGTCCTAAATGTTAGACAAGAGCAAAATGAGTAAGAGTTGGTACAAAATCCAAAGACCCAAGGGTTGGGAAGAATGCAGAAGTCTGCCTACACTCCATGACAATAAACATCTGCAATCACTAGACCCATCCACATTATATCCCTTTTCAGTATCCCTGGTGCTTCGGGACCCTTACCCCAAGCTGTCCTGAGATATGCTCCCACCTTCCACAATGGCAGGACAGATGGATGAGCCTATCATAGGGAGTATCCTAACTGCCTGGTACTCACTGACATCCTAAGTTATTAGTATGCCTTCCCTTCTAGGAAGTTCAGTGATCTAATGAGTACATAGAATCCTGGGATGTATGCCATTTACCTCTGTTGGTCCTATGTATGTACATTTTTTCCTTATAGACATACTCTCGTGCCAAAATGTCATACTGCCTTCCTTTCCCCAAAAATAAAAGGTCAGAGAAGATCAAACCCAGGTGTCAGTAGTTCCTGGTTCTAAAGGCCAGGGCATCCCAATGTATGGTACCTGATTGAGCAGGTGCCAAGTCTCAAAGTCCTCCTTGGTGCAGCGCCGGCTGAAGATAGACTTGTAGTCCACTTTCACCAACTGCCATTCGGAGCGTAGGCTGAAGTGGCCAAAAACTCTAAGTGCAAAATACAAGAAGCCCAGCATCAGTCAGTAACATGCCATACTGGAGAGGGGGAGATCAGGATGGCCGGAGCCTGTTGTGTCCCTCCAAGGTGAGTCCCTTAAAAGAGTGCTCTCCCTCGTCAGTGGCCAGGGTCTTCACATCTTCAGCCAACTGACTGACTGTCACTCACAACAAGTTTAGCATCATTTTACTGCCAAATTACTGTATGTGCTTTATAGGAAGCATTAAAATAATTTACAACTGAAATGAAAACATTTTTTTTGCATTTTGACACATAGCTTTTACATTTCTCCTTAATGTCAGGACTGGTAGGTTATCTACCTATGTCCAGTTATAGGAATAGTTTCCTCATCTAGAAAACAAATTGTATATGAATGAGTGTGTGTGTGTGTGTGTGTGTGTGTGTGTTTGTGTGTGTGTGTGTGTGCACATGTGTGTGCACCCTTACACATTGGGAGTAGTGAAACATATTACCTAATTTAAAGCATGACCCCACTGATGTCAAAATCCTGTGACCATCTCTATGCCTCTTCATTGAAATTCCCACTGCAGTACTTATATTAATGCTTATTATCTTTGTCTTTCTTGAAAAAACCATAGCATTCCAATAAAAGAAAGTCATATTTATGTACAGTAATGAGGAATGCCATCTGTGTGGTCCAGATAATCAATACTGACCTTTGTAAAGCCTAGTTGTTGATAGGCCTATAAATATGAATGATCAATCACTCTAGAAAAAATGAAGAAAAAAACAAGGCTGACCATCAATTCTCCACTGGGGTGGCATGTCATGCGATTCCAGTACAAGACATCTATCACTGTGATGGAGTGGTGAGACCAGCCATGCTGGGAGCCCTTTCAAAGAACTAGAAGATGTCCATTCCAACAAGCCTCAATCACATACAGTCAGACATTCTCTGCTGTCCTGGTGTAGACATTTGTATGCTAATAAACAAGGAATTCTCATTGAAACCTTTCCTTTAACTCTCTGGAAGATGATGATGCTTACAAGAGGGGGTGAGAACTAAAATAAATTGTAAAATGTGGGAAAAAAGATTGATCTAACTTAAAATAAATCTTGGGAAACAGTGTTGGATGTATTATCAGATAAAAATTAAATGAAAGGTCGAAAAGAACATTTAACACCTTGAGGGAGAAACTGAAGGCTATACTTTATCAAGACCGCATGGGCATTGACTAGAAGCTTTGAGCCTAGAATATTCCACATATAAAACTGATATTGTCTTTCCTCTAAAATTTCTATGCCTTTTTCTTCTTAATTCTTGCCAAATACATTCATTACCAAACACAATACAGAGATGTCATGTCATCCATCCATCAATGTTTTTCTACTCTTTAGCTCTAAATTTATTCAGAAGGTGCAAGAAGGCCTAATTGATTTTTAATCATATTTTTGGTTTTTGTTTCTTAGGCAAGGTCTCATGTACCCCAGACTGACCTCAATCTATGTAGCCAAGAATGACCCTGAACTCCTGATCCTCCTTCGAATTACAGGAATGTGCCATGGCTCCCTTAAAATTTTAACAAAACAGCTACATCTTATAAGGTTCTACTAGCTTGGCAATATGAGAGCTAAATTAATAACTGGATCAGTTTTAAAAAAAAAGACATTGAAGTTGACCTTGACAAAATGTGTCTTTACTTCTTTACTCAGATACAAAAATCTTCCTACATTCAAACATTATTTGCTGTATTAAGTCTTTCTTGGTTGCAGCAATCTAAATATCATGATGCTAGCGATATTAAAGCAAATGCATCTCCCTGCTCTAAACAGTTATTTCATAGCTCACAACATACATCATGTCAGATTAATCCTACTCATTTCTATAAGAAGATTACTAGGTAGGAAGAAGAAAATACGAGGTACATGATTTACCTGAATGTCAACAAGGCAGGTGACAGGGTCTGCACAGCAGTTTTGAAGAAAAAAAAATAAAATGTGAGCCAGTTGCTAATAAAATGATGTGTTTGAACACTACCTAATTAAAGTATTGAAATCAACTAGAAGGGAGGTAGGGTAGCCAGCTTGCAAGATTCTGTTGTCTGATTTTCCTTGTTTACCATTATTATTAAATGACTTAGAGATATAAAAATAATGTTTATCAACAGAAATCTAACTTCCCAGTGACACACAGATAGAAATAACAATCAATATGCTTCATGGTAGAATAGGACCCAGTAGGTGGTGATGGTCTACAGACAGGTATAATTTAATAAGATATGATGTAATAGGAAGAAACATCAACTTCTCCTTCTCATACTGCCAAAGGATTGGCTAACAGAGATGATCCTACTATAGTTGAGGTTAGATGGTAATAGCAGCAGTTGAACTATTTCTATATATAATGTGGCAATGTAAGTGAATAGTTCAACATGATCAATGGTTCTCTAAATGACCTTGAAATAAATAAACAAGATTGAGTGTTTTGCCTAGACTAGAAGAGGCAATATCCAGATCACAAAGAAGAATCATGTTCACTGTTAACTGTTGCCATTTAAAAAGGACCTAGATTAAGAGGTATGAATCAACTTCAGCTCATATCTAGGCTGTTGCATTGATGGATGTTGATAATCTAAATTTTAAGCAAAATCACTTCTTTATTAGAACATATACATTTTTCTATGTATAAATGATGTATTTTATCATGCCATCCAAAGACATATATGGTTGCCAAGTTACAATGTAATCTCACTTAGGAAAAGCAGCACATAGATGTTAAGTAAAAGATAATAAAATGAGAGCATATTGGGTTACTGAGATTCCCTAGAAGTGGTAAGAAATACCCTGTATGCCATATGAAGACAGAAGAATAAATGGAGTACCATGGAGGTATACAGCCATGAGCTAAGAGATGCCCAGAGCCAGAATAAAGGGAAGCTTGGGGTGAATACTGTCAAAGTGCATGATGTATTTGTATGGCAATGTATTTATAAATTCTACACTATTCATAAGCACATACCAGTAGATCTTGTATTTTTTAACTATAAAAAAGATATAAAGAGCAAGTTCTCCTGATAATCATTTGATTTTACAAATTGGCCTCCAGAATTATAAAACAATAACTAACATTTTAAGCCATCTAGTTTATGGTTTTGTTGCAGCAGTCATATGGGACTGATGTTGATGATGAGGTTTACTTCATGTTTGTGCTGAATATGGTATAAACCCAGATATGTCTTGGGAAAAATAAAAAGAAAGATGTGGCATTTTATGCAGCTTGTAAAGGGTGAGAGAACTTTTTAACAAATAGTGATATCAAGGGGCTACAGGTGCAGTAGCTAGAGAGCATGCAAATGCAAGCCTAGACTTTATTATTTACCAGGGTTGATACTGGACAGTATGTGACATTAACCTATGTGTTCAACTTATTTGAAACTGAACCCAGACATCAAATCAGTTAAATCTTGTAGACTGGTTCAAATTGTTTTCAGCTATTTCAACATGTCCATTTTGTTCATCCACATTTGTTCAATTTCTTGCTTAATGATGTGTTTCCCAGGTATTTCTCCAAACTGTAAATTGATCAACTCATATTCTTGGATGTGTACTATTTTTCTTTCCCATAAGGTTACTTCCAAATGACAAAAGCAAAATCACAATCGGTTTACAGCGTTAGGATAATTGGATTTGCTCATCTTCTTGATGCCTCTCTGCTAAGACAAGCAAAGTGAGTCCCTTAGTAATATTTGTGTATTAACATATTCCTTATCCTTCAATCTGTCCTAGATTACAAGAGTTAATTTTTTCCCCCTCATCTCAACATCAATGACATTTTAGTGATTGTTCTGGTTTTCTTTCTGTTGCTGTGATAAAACAATCTGACCAAAAGTAACTTAGGGAGGAATGAGCATATTGGCTTACAAATCCAGGGTGCACTCCGTCACTGGAGGAAGTAAGGAAATGAACTCAAGGCAGGAGTCTGAAGCATAAATCATGAAGGATCACTTATTCCTGGTTTTTGCTGGTTCACTCTCTGGATCATTCACAGGCTCATGCTTAGATAGCTTTCTTGCACATCTCAAGACTACCTTCCTAAAAAAGGTACCACCCACTGTGGAATGGACCTACCTGTATGAATTAATAGACAATCTGACATTCACATGCCCACAGACTAACTTGATATGGAGACTTATTAAGACTAGTTTTCTGTGTGCTTCTTGGTAGTACCACATTAAGAGTTACCCAGTCAAAGATTCAGATACATCATCTTTCTTCTGAATAGACCTTGTTTCTCTAGTTCTGTTCAGTATTACATTAATTATCTGATGATTAGGTAACTGTTAACAAAGTTGAAAAAATGACAGCATACATAGAAACATAAGTAGGATATGAAGTATAGATTATTACTGAAGTATTTAATAGTCTTCTTTTTTCTTAAACATTAGTGAAACAGGTGTCACAAAAAGATAATGCAAGTGTGAACCTAACAAAGACCGTCAAAAGAAATCACACTCATCATTTTTGTAATAATATCACCGAACTGAAAAAGATGCCAAGACTCCTTCTAATGAATAACCACAAACATCAAGGTCCCAGGAAAGAGCTCTTCATCTTCTAAAACCGTTGCCAGCATAATAGGGGAAGCCCTTTCCTCATACTTACTTGGGTAGAAGAAAGTGGTTCATATATTGGCTCAAATGCATGGTTATAGTAGAGGATAGCAGAACATGGAGAATCTACCAAAGAATGATACAATTTCCAAGCCAGATGTCAAGGTCTTCAGGAGAACTGAAATTTCTGGTAACTATGAGATCTCTTTCTTCAGATACCCAAATTTTATGTTTTCAAGAAGTCCTTCCAGAAGCTCGTTGACACACAATTTCCCTTCCTAAACAGCTTCTCATTAGTACATTCTGAGTGTCCATATTTGTATTTCTCTGAAGACCCTGATGATGAAAATGTGCTCAAATCACACTCTGAATAATAAAGGAAAGAGCTTCTTTTGGAGGCCATGAATCAGAAAGAGAAC